GTATTGCTCAACGTTGCTGCCATCCATAGCATATTAAAATATCTTGCTAAGAATGCGTCGTCCGTCACATGCGAAGGTACGTAGCAGTTTATACATCACAGCGAACAAGAATGCATGCATTGTTCTCTTCACGATTATGTGACTCAAAACATTTCAAACGATTGTATAGAGAACAATGCATGTTGTTCGCTATGATGTATAAACTGCTACGTACATTCGCATGCGACGGACGACGCATTCTCAGCAAGATATTTTTATATGCTGTGGATGGCAGCAGCGCTGAGCAATACTCTGGTTTTCTATTTAATGCAAATACCATTTTTTTTGTTTGCGCAGCATCAATCCAATGCAACAGATTTCATACAAATATTGAAACAAATTTTGCGGAAAAGTTGCACACGAACACACCGTTAAAATGGAATGGCTTTGGAAATCAACCAACACGAATGTTATTCCAAAATACGGGATTCGATGGTAATTGCATGAAAATGACTAAAAATTTCTTTCGTTTACTCTCAGTCGCTTTCTTTCTCTCTTTGTGAGAAGAAAAAAAAAACATAACAACAACAACAACTAATGAATGCACTTCCGTTTGATTTACGCACTGGCAGTGCTTCAATTGCATTGTATTGTATTGTATTGCGAAGCGCAAAGCTATGAAAAACCGCAAATAAAAATCGATCTTCGTTTTTTTTTTTCTTGTTTCGTTTTGGGTCGAAAAACATACAGCCAGAATGACGGCGCAATGGAATGAAGCTGGCAACATTCCATTTATTTCGGGTGATGGTATTGGCGCGAAATATTTGTTCAAAACGATTCGATTTTTGTGGCAACGCAACGATAAAACACAATCACCATCGTCATTCGCATTCAACAACATTGAACACACGTTAAATGGGCAAATGTACAACATGGAAATGCAAATGCTCACTGAAAACGAGAACAAATACACAACGAACACCAGATTCCTAATATTCTCGTGGTTTTTTACCAAAAATAAATCAAAGAATTATTCGCTTGAGCCATTGTTGAAATGCTTGAAATACATTCGTCGACCGAAAACAATGAAAACAATCAACAAACCCTTTCCATTGGATCGCATTGTTTATGCAAGTACTGGCGGTTTCTATGGCTACACCCGATATAGTGATGATAATACTAGATGTTGGCCGATTCATCATCAACTCATCGAAGCAAACCATTTAATTCCAATCGGCATTACACAGTTGAGTGAATTTCATAAATTAGCTCATCACATCGAATACCCATTGAATGAACGCGTTCGAACAGAAAATCATAGTTCGAATACTATCAAATTAGTTGAGTATCAAAGACTATTCAAGCCAATGCAATGCCAACCACGTTGATGTATATACAAGGAATTTCTAGGTTATATATATCATTTTATCAATCGATAAACAAGAATCATAAACTTTGTATATACACCATGTAATGTCTTGCACATTATTATATTTGTCTACGGAGTTTTCAAGTTCTCCAAAGTCTCAGAATATGTTTTAATAAAAAAAAATCTATCTCTTTCTCTCTCGCTTAATAAACTTTTATCCGGAATCTCCTTCCGACAATATTGTTTAATTAAACGAATGTTTTTATCCGCATCGAAGATCAGCGAAATTGGTTGTAATTTATGCGTGCAATGAACATTTCGATAGCAAAAATATAAATATATATGATGCACCATACCATATATCAGCTCAATTGCAGTAACAATAAATGTGTATGTGTAAAATATGTAATGTGTATAATTTATATAGGAACGTCGGAATTACATGCGCTCATGTGCCAAGTATATCCACCATGCATGCACTCATCTCCGGATTTGTCAAAGCCTTTTGTTGAACAATGCATAAGTCATATTTTATGGCATTTCAAACCTCATACCATAAATGTCACACTTGTTCATTTCCGACATCCGATACCAACAGCCGATCAATAAGTTTTACTGGGATAAAGCTAATGTAATTGTGACTTTTTCGCAATAAACTCATTGTGATTGTTGAATTAATGGCGGTCACATAAAACATCCATCTAAATTGATTTGAATTATGAGGTTTCTTTTCATGTTTCAAACGATCGTTTCGTTTCAATTTTCTTTGCTTTTCATCTATCAATCAACTTACACAATTTGATTTTTTTTTCAACGCCAACTTTTTACCAATGTGATAATTACATTTGGTTTTACATGCGCACTTAACTAAAGTTTTGCAAAAAAATTGATATATGAATTCAATTTAATCATCTGTCCAATTATATCTATGACATAGATTCTATGTATACTAGATGTCCAATTTTATTTATTTCACTGAACGTAAATTATACTTTGATGCAGCACTCTGTCACTTTTCTTTGAATGCGATAAGCAGATAAAAAGTGACGCATGGGTTGACGTTAAATACGAGGAATATAATTTCAACACGTATTCTTGGATGAAGTGACTTGAGAGTCAACGATATCGAATGCATTTCATTTTCTCTAATTGAAATTGCTGGTTGTTTGATGAAATGTAGGTAGCGGTGCAAAGTAAATGCAACATCCGATTTGAATGGTTTGTGCCATGGAAATTTGGATAAAGCATACGTTATGTTTTTCCGTGAGTTAAAAAAAACCGTTTTGCTTTTTCATATGAAATAAATTGACAAAATTAATGTTTTATTGGATCTATATCTTTATTTATAGAAAATATGATGGACTTGGTGAATAGAATCGTGTATTATTGTTATATATTACATATGTTGCAAAATGATGAAAATCTCAATTGGAGTAGACACATAGCTATAATATGACAAGACTATAAGGCATTGATGTTGTTATGTTGGTTTAATTCGCCATAATTACTGGTTTTTCACCCGAAACGTATACCACTAGCTTTTGGGGTCAGTGTTCAATGTTAGTGACCGGCATGTTTACATGTATCGGGTGAAAATGACTTTTTAGCAAACTGTATTCAACCATCGTTTCGAGTGAATATGTCTCTCTTACTTCCCTCTTTCTCTTCCTATCTCGCGCCTCTACTTCGACGGTGAAAATTAACTAAATAAGAACAAAACACTGCAAAACTGTAAAATAGTATCATCTCTATGGTTACACCAGTCCAATCCACTCCACTCATGGGGCGGAAATGAATGAGACGAAATTTTCTCTCTCATGGGCGCAGCCATATTGAAAATTTTGTATGCGCTTATATGTAAAATTGGTGGCGCCACTGGTATATTTGATGGAAAAAGAAGAACATGTTTGAGTCTCACTCGTTTATATGTAAATTACATAGGCATTTCCAGGCCATGACTCCACTCAATCTATTTTATTTTATTTTTCTATTCTGTCCATCGATAAATGGATAAAAATTGCTATTGAAAGTTGGAACAAAAGCAGACGCCGAGTATTTTATAATCGCAGTTTGTTGATTAAGGATAAAATAAAACAACATAGCATAAATGCCGAAGGCCTCATTGCATCAATTTGAGTTTTATAGTCTCTGGAAAATGTAGCGTGAATAGATGCTGCAGTCGAGAATGAGCACAATGAAAATGCCATCATGTTTACGCTCAATGATTATAAGAATGAATGCAAAGCGAACAAAATAGATAAATGCTGATAATTCGCTTGCATTGCAAAAACTAAATTCTCCACATTGTACGTAGGTAAAATTAGTTCGTGAATTTATATAGTGTTCTCAAGCACCACTACATTTGTTTACAAGACCCTTTTGTTTTGAGCTATGACGAACAATTAACATGGATTCAGAGAGAGCGACGATGGGGAAATGCTTCTAAATGAACAATTGATGGCTTTTTATAAGCATCAGATTGTCAGATTCATTGTGTGGCACTGATGTTACTGGAGTGTTTATCGATAACAATATGGGGATCATTCGCATCAACGGAATTCAATTGAATTGAAGCGAAAGTTTGACAACGGGAATCAGAGCTTGGAGTGGCAATGAGAAAAAAACCCTGTTGCAAATGAATCGGAGAAAATGGCAAAAAGTCACTTTCATTACAATGATGACGATGATAATGATAGTGAAATGTGATGCATCGGTTAGTAGGGCATTGAAATGACAACAAAAATGGGCACAAGTCAGTGGAACAGTGGCATATGATGAATTCACATCGTTATACTGCATACAATCGTTGGCAATGACTTTAAAAATGCACAACTGCTGCATACAAATGCAATTGGTATTGCACATCTCCATGAGGATACACTGGAATACACATTATAAATCGCAATATTTGCTTTCGTTGAATTGGCTCAATTGTGGAAAGTCACAATTACTATGTGAACATGCATTACGAGACTATGTATTTGTTGTTATCAGTAAAACTCATCTAAATGAAGCTTTTCACCTAGGTAGAAATTTTGGCCACCGTACACATAATTTTCAACCAATAAGCGGTTGGAATTTCAACAGAATCCCCAAACTCACTCACTGATTCACTCATTGAAATTCTGTTCGAGATCATGTTTGATATAAAATATTGTTTCATAAAATTGTGAACAAAACTACCGCAAATTTATCACTGGTTTTGTATTCAGCAGAACGTACAAGCGATTTTTCATAGAGCAAAGCTAAAACGTCGACAAATTTCCGAACCAAATGAAAAATACATATATATTCGAGTAAACATGTCTCTTTTTCTCTCTTCAACTGTCTCCATGCAATGACAAATACATCGACACATTTTCTGGCAGCAACGCAAAACACACAGGTTGCTTCGTACATAAAATGAATTTCTTGCTCTCCAAAACTGTTTTTTACAATATTCAGCACTAAATTGATGACATTTATATATTTCTAGTGGTGTATATATTGTTCAAAAACTATATTCACAGCAAATATAATATAATGGAATCAATTTTTATTTAAAAAATCAAATTGAAATTACTTCCGCTCTCAATTTCCGCGATTAGGCAAATGATTGAGAAAATACAGAGATAAAAAAACCCACTAACCTAAAACATTTTTGTTTTTGCAGACGCTGTAATAAAATCAACGCCATTTTTTCTCATATCCGGATTTATTTTAGTTGTGAGCTACCTCATACTAATGGTAGCAATGTGCTCACAAAAGCACAGCGTTCTCTTTTTCTTTTCCGGTATTTTCTTCATCATTGCAGGTAAGTTCGTTTATTAATGAACAAGATTTTCCAATCAATTGAAAATTCAAGTGGTTTTTTTTTTTTTATATAAATTCGAGTTGCGAGGAAATGCAATCGAGAAAAGTTCAAAATCCGTTAATAACAAAAGCATATTTTCCGCACAAATTATTTAGGCTTGACAATGCTAATTGGACTCATCATGTATATAAGCATGTTTAAATCGGAGATCGGATCAAAATTGCGGCCAATATCGATGTTTCAGCCACCTTTATTCACTTATAGATACGGCCATAGTTTTATTTTGTTTGTAATCGGATGTATATCAGCTGAAATTGTTGGAACATTGAATTTTTTTCTCTTCATACAAATACGTGAGATTGGACGCGAAAAGGTAAGCTTTGCGACCTCTCAGTTGTCTGAACTAAATCATTTTTAAATAATTTAGGCGATTCCGTGCTTCATGATGTACGCTGGCACATCGAAAGAGAAGACAGACGAAAAACGAATTAATCCAATCGCACAGGAATTTAAAATGCCACCGCCTTTTAAATGTCAAAAACATCCGACTGTTCCAAACGTGTTTTTCTCACCAAATTCACAGCGTCGGTAAGGCGTTTTTTTGTCGTTGTTGCTTTCGTAACAATAACTATATTATGGTCTTACATTTTCTGGTATAGATATTTTTTTGAAAAGCCCACTCAAAAATGCGACACATCACAGAAAAATTTGGCAAAAAGCTTGAATGAATTATATACGGAACCAGCGCCGAATACATTATTTCCATATGAGCTACCGCATGAATTTCCATTAACACGTAGTGTTAGTACGACAACCGACATATTTTCCAATTGTTCTGGCGGTTTCGCTTCTGCAAACACTAATTCAAATAAGTCGCTTCGCATGTACACGCCGCAGTTGAATAAACGGGCAATGAATCGACATCATCAACAGCAGCAGCAGCACCAACAACAGCAGCAACATCTGCAGCAATCGGAATATTCCATGCAAAATCATAACTATAAATCAATTTCAAGGGATGGTTCGCGAGATAGTTTGAATGATACAGGCGTCGTGAATAAAGGAATTCTGACGAACCGTGAAAAATCCAAAGATGAGTTGTTTCTTGAATTTTGCCGAAAAGCAGGTCAAAGACCGAAGCCAAAAGATATTTATTTCATAGATACATACGAGGGGCCGACCGAAAATGATGTCTTTGTTGTGGATAATTATGCAACAAATCGAAAAAATCATCGCAATTCAAATGTAAGCGGAACGCAAAAGCCAACAAATGTCTATAATTCAAATCAATCATTGAAAGAATCAAACAATATTGCTGGCGGCAAGAAAACCTATCTGCCAAACAATTTATTCGATTCGAACAATTTTGGTGGTAGCAGTGAACGGACGGCCGCATTTCTAAATGCCACACGTGACACGAATTATCTTTCGCACAGTCGAAGTAATTCACGCGATTCAAATTTATACACTAGTCGAACACTGCCACGAGATTTTCTTAAGAAAAACATTGACTACGATTTAGATGAGTTTTGTAATCGGCGCATATCAGCTAATGGAATCTATACGCCATATAATATAAGTATGACATTACCGTCAACCGAAACCATGACCATTTCAGCACCAAAGGAATTCACCGATCCCACCAACGATTTTTATAAAAAATCATATGATACGCTTGCTTCGCGAAACAGTCGCCAACGTGACGCGTATACAGGAAGCGAAGACACTTTGGCTGTAAAATGGCCAAATTTTATACCAGGCTCACCAGCAAGTTTCTCTAATCGTTTTAATTATAATGCCACTCCAGTCATCGCGAACGTCACATCATTTTCGCCAAATAAAGAAAGGAAATCGGCTCAAATGTCCACATTTTATTCACAACATTTTCCACATCAAATTAAACAACAACCACCTGTTAATAAAATAACATACTTTCCGCATGAACGCAATACAAACGAAATAAATGCCCAATCACGATTTAGTGATAATATTGAATATGGGAATGGCACACAAAACAGTAATGAAAATAGCCAGTCCAGTGGTGGCAGCGATGAGTGTTCCACATTTGATTTGGATCGTATCGAACGCGAACGCCGAAAATCACATGCCAGTTTATTTGAAGTCGATTTTACAAATGGCACACCAGTATAAAATCGATTCGATCGATTTTGCTTTTGAACAATATATTTTTAAAGTAATTATGCGCACATGGTAATCACGTTCCCCATTTTTGTACTTGTACCGTTTGATTAGATGGTAAAATTTAATTGCGTATGTTAAATATAATTGCCGAACTCGCACAAAATTTGTAGAATAGCACACAAAAAAGCATTCGTGGCGAATTTTATTGAGATTGCCAATGCATTTGTTTCTCAATGGAAAAGCACTGAAGAGGTTTTAAGTCTGTGTATCGTGCACTCGATTCCCAGATATAATGATATGGTTTTTTTTTTCTAAATAAATAAAGAAATACCCGGCAATATTAATTATATTAAAAGCAACACTGAATACAGGGCAAATTGATTTGTATGTTTATAATAATATATTCAATAGAAATGTTACTTATGATTATTCGTGATACCTGATAACATCATTTTAATCAATTTGAGTTCCATATATTTAAAAAAAATATTTATTGAAATATAAAAAAGAGCGTTATATAATTAATTAGAACATCAATTTATTTGAATAAGTGTTTTCCTATTTTGAGCACATCTTTATTTAACGCAACGTAAACATATTCATATTAATGACATTGTCTATTTAAATATTGAATTATTATTATGATATTCGTGTTGGGTCGACAAATGTTGAATCGATAATTTAATTATTTTGACAAAAGAATCCTTTTTACCAATAAATTTATATGTACTCAAAAATGTGCAACCGAAGAATAAATGGTTTTTCTTTGATTTTTGTGTTTGAAATATTTGAATCAAATACAGAAATGACGCCATCTATATGTGAGTTCATCAACTGACATCGACTAAGTGGAGTTGCATTGAAATTTCTACATTGAATAATCGTTATTTGAGTGTTATAAAGTTTCATTTGTTCAATGTTTAAAAAAATATGAATCAAATTATGTTCACAATCATTTTCGCAGTTTCATTTCGCGGTTTTTACAACAAAACTATAAAAAAAATCCATTGTCCCATGTTATCGCAATATTGAATTATTTCATCACAGAAGTAATCAAGTAAAGATTCGATTATAGTTATTGAAGATGAGATCGTATAACAGACGGTACCATACAAAATGTGAGTGCAACATGGAGCACATGTAAATGTTGTATATGCATAAAAAGAAATATCTGCTCCTAATGTATGAAAATAATAACAATAAGAAGCAAGTAATAAATAATAGCAGTGTGGTCGGTCACATTATCATTTAAATTTAGCTACTGTTTTGCGTATTTATCGTCAAGGCGATTTACTTACCATTTGTTGATGAAGTAAAACGATATAGGGATGTATGCACAGTAGCTGTATCAACAGCAACGATAAAAATATGGTATGTGTGTGATGAGCGTCAACATTGTCCTGTTCGTCATAATTTTCGTATTATGTTCTTCATCATATTGATTGGCAGAAAGGTGAAGTGAGACGGACAACACGCAAAAATATGTGAAAAATCAAAGGAGCAAAAAAAGAGGTAATGTTGTCTGACTAAAATATGCATGCAAAATTGCACGAGTTAAGAGGCGCAGTCCCAGTAGCAATAACCATCATCTCGGTCGTATTTTGTATTCTCTATCTTTTATTTTGTGTCTTCGCGTTGCTTTGGCATTTGTTTTTGCCTTCGTTTTTTAGCGGCGTTTTATTCCCCGGTGCTTCTGTTTCGCTTGCATATTAAAAGTGGTGTCCATAACGTCTAATCAGTATGCATAATGTTGAATAATAAATAGATCAATTTTAGCGTATTATATTTTGCATTTTTGATATGCATGCACAGGCAACATATCGCGATCTGATCAATACCCAGTTCCAATAAATACACATACACACACATACCAATATCGCGTTCGCTCATTTATCGTGAACATCAAACAATGCATCGAATATGATATTCGGAAAAAACAACCACAGCATATTTTTCATTTTTTGGAATATTAAATATTCAACAAACAACGGGACGTTTTTTTGTATTTCTTTTTTTTTGTCGAGCGACAGCCGATTTTTTTTCGCCTTTCGATAAATTTCACCGTTTAAATATATTTTACCTGATGAACGCGATTTTTCTTCATTGAGATGGTGAACCAAAGCCGAAAAAGAACTTTCAACGCGAAATTCTGTTTTTGTCGATATCGTTTCCAAAATGCCAAGAAAGAAGGAAAAAACAGGAATGTCTCGACAAAAATTCCTACGAGCGATATTTATTGATCTTCATCATTTCACAATGTTGTTGCTGTTCTTAACTTAAAAATAAACAAAATCTATTTAGTTGTACGTGAGTCTGTATATTAATAGTCTTAATGGGTATCAAAATGATCATATTTTGCCGATTAACTGCCTATCTTTGCGGCCATTCGTTTGCATATGCAATTGTATTTTGACGCTGAAATCAGTTACTGCGCTTTCTGTTTGTTGCACGCGCATTCATGATATCGAATGTGTGTGTGTGTGTTAATAAATCGTTGCCGCAAGAGACCAACTATATATAGTTATGGTGTTCTTCCATCGTCATCGTTGAAGCAGTATTGGTAGTGATTGTTGTTGCTATTGCACTCTTATTCCTTTTCGATTAGTAGATGGTTATCAATAAAAATTACACGAAGAAAATTAAACACAATAAAGGCAATGTATTTAATAAAGGCAGCGAGCAACAGAAGCCAAAAAAGAACATCAACTTCCAGCAGCACATAAACATCAACAATGAACAATGCGATCAACTGATCACACCATACCACATAATCAAAGCAACACAGAGTTATAGTAAATAGGTAAACAATGTATTTGTGCATTTCATATTCAAATCAAAATTACTTTGCTTATGCTTCTACCATCTTTTGACTAATGCGCAATGTAACACACACCATCTACCACTGAATTTTATTATAGATTCTCTTTGTTCTTTGCCCAGTTTTGACTGATTTTTATAAAGAAAGTTAATTTTAATAATAATTCAGTACATCAGCCGGCAGCATCACCGATCTATTCAAAAAGAAAGAGAAACAAAAGCAACGAGAATTGGACGCGCGCAAACTCAAAAGAGAAAATGTGTTGAAAGTGCTTCCATTAATCGATCGTAGTAATAATTGAATTTGTTGGTTCATTTCATCACAAAGTAAATGTATAAATCGAATGGCTAATGTTTTGGGTTGTGCTCGACATTTCAATAGATTGATAGATGGATTGTGATATACATCAAAATCGGGCAATCGAAAACGCACTTTACGCCGTTCATTTCCTCCACTCCATTGTAATTGTTGATTGTTTTATTTCAAATAACATGGACATTAAAAATTAAACAATTTTTTTGTGCATTATGCACAGTTTTCAGACATTCCCTACTCTTGGATCTACAACATCCAAATTTATTGCTATATTATTCCATTCATGTCCGTCAAATTCATGCTGTGCATCACTTGCTGTGGATATGAACTCATTCGAATGGAATCTTTGTTGGTTCACAAGAAAATTCCAATGATGGTAAGGGTGCCGCGAGCTCATGTCATAATCAATCTCCGTTCCAGAAAATCACTCAGAATGAATTGTTTGAGTGACCGTTTTTTGTTCTCATATCATCATACACATTTCAGTCAATTCAAGAAGCCAATGTCTGCCATCTTATTGCACTTGGACTCGACATGAAAATTGCTCCTGCGACCCAATAAATGCGTAATTTACATGTCTACCCATGAACATAAAATATGAACTGACATGAATACATCATTTTTTATTAATTTGACGAAAATATCTGTCCTATGCGCCTCTAGACGGGTATTCACCAGAATTCCAATGAAACATGTGGCTGTCAAATAGTTCTTCGCTTGTTGAACAAACATCTTTGATTCGAATTGTAAATGATTCTTGAAATCCATTTATGGCACGGTTCACACGATCGTCTTCTTCAAACCACCAACATTTACCACAAATCGAAGATGTTCAAGTTGTTTTGAGCAAATCGACTTATATTCAAGAGCGATATAGTCACGATTAATGACTTCAATCGATATAACAAAATTGAATTGAGCACAAATTTCACATTCCATTCAACACAACATCAACATCAACAAAGAAGAAAAAATCGGCTACAAATCAATTGGTTGGACGAGTGGTGTTGGAGCGCAGATTATGGTAATTATTGAGCACGTGAAATGATTTTTTGCTTCCCGATTTGCAAATTAAGTGCTGCTATCAACAAATACAGTAACGCCTTAAAAGACGCAAGTTTCCAATAGTTGGAATATGCTGGAATATCAAAATTGAATTTTTGAATATACTCAGACTTGCCTTAATGCGTATTTTGAGATGCGCGAAAAAAAAATGCAATGAAATATTTGAAAACAAGAATTAAAAGTCTTTCAAATCCAATTGGTGCTTAAATTTAATCAAAGAAGTGAAAAGAGAGCAATTTCAATTCTATCTATCGACGATCGCCTGTTATTCAAATTTAATCACCTAAAACCATTTTGTAAGAGTGGACGGTCTTATCCATTTGGTGAGGCGGAGAATTACAAATAAGCAAGCGCTACTACTCTTAGTGTGCAAACTCTATGAGTTCGGTATGCAATAAAGTGGCCGGAGATTGGATAGAATTTCGATTCAAAATCTATGAATAAAATGCATGGCATACACGTTGATTTCGTTCAGTTATCTTAGAATTGGCTACCGATTATGGCAATTCATTTCGCTTCTAGATCATGCATTTCTATTTTGCTCTTCAGTCTTTTCTGTCTACTGCTCCTACTTATAATAATTATTATTTTTCATAATGGGATAGCATACATTTAATTTTTAACTCGAGCCAAACTACATATTCATTCAGCTATTTGATAGCCATTTGATATTCCAGTGGGTTTGTGTACGTGCTTTGATGCCTTTCCTTTTAACACTATTGACTTCTGTTTCACTCGATTTCATTTATGTGCGCGCAATTGCGGTCGGCCGTATCCGTGGAAAATAGTTCATTTCACAATAATAAATAGTGTGCTCACTACCATCAAATCGTTCAGCCCGATGAAGTGTTTCGTTTTTTTTTTCTCAATGGCAATCCGCAAGTAAATCGGTGTATAAAAGCGGGCAGGCACATTGAAGGTTTGGTCGCTACTATGCAGTAAACTCCTTGTCAATGTTGCATTTTTTTCCATTATTCCCATCTTCTTTTCGCCTTTCCACATAAATTTTCTGTCGTTTCGTCCCAGTCAATTTCATCGTTTTTTTTTCGTTTCATTTCGAGTTGCACACAGTATATCTCAACTGTGAACGTCATCCGCTGGTTATTACGGCTGAAGTTTTACTCGCTTTTTTTCGCCCCTCGTGTGTTTATAAATTATATTTAATTCACAATTTCTGTAAGTGTATTCCAATCTAATTGAACGTTTCA